AAACTAAAACTGTTAACTATCTCAATCTCTTCACTATCCATACTGATGCTGCCAATTGGCCCAGTGGTGAGAATCTTTGTTTTCTTGATGTTGAGCTTCAGTCCATATAGGAGGCTGCAGTCCTTGATCTTCTGCAGCAAGTGCTTCAGGTCCTCCTCAGTTTCAGCAAGCAGGGTTGTGTTATCTGCATAACTCAGGTTGTTGATGATTCTCCCACCAATCCTGATGTCACATTCCTCTTCGTATAGCCCAGCATCTCGGATGATCTGTTCTGCATACAGAATGAAAAGATATGGAGACATAATACATCCCTGATGAACCCCCTTCTTGATTTTGAACCATGTAGTATCTGTTCTGACGACTGCCTCTTGGTCCAAGTATAGGTTTCTCATTAGCACAAACAAATGTTCTGGAATTCCCATTCTTCTCAGAGTCAGCCATAGCTTGTTGTGATCCACACAGTCAAAAGCCTTTTTATGCATAGTCAATGAAGCACAGATACACATTATTCTGGTATTCTTGGCTTTCTGTCAAGGTTCATTTAACATTAGCTATAATATCCCTTGTACCACGACCTCTTCTAAATCCAGCCTGCACATCTGGCAGTTCTCTGTTGACATATTGTTCCAAACGTTTTTGGATAATTTCAGCAGAATCTTGCTTGTGCATGATATTAATGATATTGTTCCATAATTTCCATTATCTACCCCAAAAATTTACCTGGAAGTTGATAAAATATTAAAATCCTTAGAATAAAAGACACATGAACATTTTCACGACCTTGGATTTGCCAACGGGATTCTAACTATGACACTAAAAGTACAAGCAACAAACAAAAATAGACAAATTAGATTTCACACACATATGCACATACATTTATTTTGTTGTTGTAGAGAAAAATTTCTATTTAAAGTTAGCCAGCTGGACTCAGTTTAGATGATCCCAATTTTGTTGGCAACATCCAAAGCATCATAATCAGGAGCAAGTCGAACATAGGCCTTCTTCTCTCCATCAGGCCTAATCAAGGTGTTGACCTTAGCCACATCAATGCCATGGAGCTTATTTACAGCTTGTTTGATTTGGCGCTTGTTGGCCTTGATATCCACAGGGAACTCAAGTGTGTTATCTTCTGTCTTCTTCATGGCCGACTCAGTGATCAGGGGAAACTTGATGATGGTATAGGGGTCAAGCTTGTTTCTCCTGGGGATACTCTTCAGGGGTGTTTGGCTACTTTTGGAGTCCCAGAATCTTAGGCCACCAGAAGGTGGATCTTGTGTGTGTGTGTGTGTGTGTGTGTGTGTGTGTGTGTGTGTGTGTGAGTGCCCTGAAGACTGCCTTCTAGGCCTTCAATGCCTTTGCTTTGGCTTCAGTTTTGGCAGGGGCAAGGGCTTCCTTCTTCACTTTTGGTGTCATCTTTGTAGAAGGGTATACGTACATAATTAGCTTCAAAGGGCACCTTCAGTACAATGACAGAGGTAACCCACAAAATAAGAAGTTTTGTATTTATCTGATCAAAGATTACATCTAGAATATATAAAGGACTCTCACAATTCAATAAAAAGACAAATAGCTTAATTAAAACATGGCAAAAGAATCTGAATAAACATTTCTCCAAATCATGGCTGAAAAGATGCTCACTGATCATTGTCCTTCTCAGTTATACTCGTCTTTTTTTAAAGTTTTATAAACTCTAATTCTCCAGTACTATCTTTTGTGATTCTAGTTCTAACCCTCCACCCAACAGCTCTTACTACTCTACTACTAAATCATTCATTGCAATGACCACACAGAACTCAGCCAAGACTGTATAAAGATAATAATACAGATTGTCTTCCCCATTTCTGCTTTCTGTACTCAGAAAAATAGTTTTGAGATTCATCTATGTTGTTTCAAGAGTCCATAATTCATTTATTTTTTAAATTGTTAAAAATTAGTCCACTGTGTAGATATAGCATAGATTTTAGGATTTTTATCCATTTACCTATAAGTCATATTTTAATTATTTACAACTTTTGGTGCTTGTGATTAAACATGGTATAAATACTAGTGTATTTTAAAAAATAAAAATAAAAAATGCTCAATGTCATTAACCTTTGTTGTTGCTGTTGTTAAACACCATCAAGTCAACTACAACTCACAGCAACCATGTGGATCATTTATCTGAACTTGGCCCTGTACTAGACCATGTTCACGACTTTTTTTTTTTTTTAGTTTAAACACACTTTATTTTTAGACAACCTATGACATTTTTTCCCTTTAAAAAAAATGCCTCTGCTCCAAATAAATGAAGGTCAAAATTACAATGGAGAGCTCAAGATGGTATCTCAGTCCCATTTGTCGAAGTCCTGGTGTGGTGATGAGAAGCAGCAGTCAGATCAGATGACAGGTGATGGATCCAAAGAAGTGCCAAATTTGTTAACATTTCTCCATTTCTAAACCATCCTTAAAGAAAATCATG